CGATAGTGTTCTAACCATTGACCCCATGAAAGGTAAATGTATATGGTTCTCATTTGGACAATCAACAAATATCCGAACAAAAAAAAGTTAAAGAAAAAATGACAACTTTTATGTCTTGTTTCCCATTGACATAAAATTAATGAAAAATCCTTATTCTATGCTAAGATGGGAGACAAACTCTTTTTTTTTGGTGCAATTTAAGGAGTTCCAATGTTCTCTTAACAATTAATATTTTTTTCACCAAAAGCTTTTAGGTCATGTGACTGACAGCTACATAGTGATGCAGACAAACATTTATAATAAAGAAATCATGATTTATTTTCCTTTAAACGTGATAAAAAATTATTCAAATTAATTGTTGGTTTCTAAGTGAACCCTTAGAAACCAACACAGAAGCAGGATTCCAACAAATGTGCAATGAAATGTCAAATAAGAAATCTATTTGTACAGTTAAATAGCAAACAGAGTTGATTTAGGGCTGAGAGGTCCTTGGATGGAATTGGAGGATTTTTTAAAGTTGATTGTTTTGAGTTTGGAAGAAGGCAATTGGACTATTTTTTTTCTTGAAAATGTTTCAGCTCTACAACCATGAATGCTTGTTTAATTATTTTAGATCAGAGGTAAGATTTGAAGAAGCATGAGATGTCCAGATCCTTTTTTTATTATTATTATTTAAGCACTGAGTTACATTTTCAATAGGCTTAGCCTTTGGAGTAGATCTATCTTCTTTATGTTTTGCAAACATTTTTTTTTTTTTTTATTTTATGATCGTGTTGTTGGAATTCAATATATGTTCAAATTTCAACCATGTAGCTTTTAAATGAATGGGGAAGTTCAAGGGATGGATTATTGATGCACCAATGTCACAATCGGCAAATGCTGATACATAAATCTTTGACATAAAAGCTTTTCACCAGAAGGGAACCTTCTATGTGGGCAGTAGAAAATTTGTTTGGGCCTTGTAGATGCTGAATAAGGACAAATGGGCTTCTTTCTGGGCCTTCCTTCTCCTCTGTGCAGAGTAATGCTGGAGTTCCTGCCTCTTAAAGTTCATGATAAGTTTGTCGCTTCTTTATGAATATAATAACCAACATCTTTTTACTTGAGGGTAATAAATTAAGTTAAATGTCCAACAACACAATGGTCTATTTTATAATGAAAAACTGCTTATAAGATGGATGAGGCAGGCTAGCATTAAGCTTTTATACGACTACAAAAAACTCCAATCTAAAACCTACTAAATAAAAGTCTATGAGGCTTCATGTCCACTGGTCTATCAAGCAATTTTTTTGTCTCGCTGTATTTTTTTGAGAATAATTCTGAGCATGGGTGGATCAGAGAAAACCCACAATAAATGAAAACTTTTTAATCTTATTCATGTTTTTTTTAAAACCAGTTCAGCTGTATGTTGTCTAATTAGTCCACAATAATGCGGCACTTACTTAAAATGACTGATGAGGGACTGCTTGCAAGGGCTTAACCACGCTTATGAGATCAGCAGTGTGTACCACAGAGCTGTGAAGTGGCTCCATCGATCTCCACCGGTAACCACAGAAGACAGATACAACAGGCCACATCGTTAATGGAAGGAGTTCAAAGGCATCCGAATGTCCGGACTCAACCATAAAGAGCCTGAGGGACTGATATTCTGTGCACTGTTGCATCCTTTATGCAAGTCTAACAGAGTTCCCTGAATTAAATCTAGTAACTGTATTACTTTATATAATAAGAATGAGTTACATCATGCTTTTAATTTGTTTTTTATCATTTTCTGCAACTCTTGGTGAGTCAGTTATGCACAGCTTGGTCACACCCCACAGCTGGAGCTGGAGTCATCGAATCAGCAATACGAGATAATTCACCAGCAACAGCTGCATACAGGATTTTGCAAAAGGTATCCGTAGCACTACAACTTCTTTATTCTTTGTTAAGAATTGATTGGGATGTCTTGTTATAAAGAAAGAGAAATTACTAATCATGGTGTGGGAAAAGAAGGGGGCATGTTATTTCAATATCTGGGAAATATGATATATGCCACAATTTGGTCCGAGACCCCGAAATAAAATCTATTTCAATTTATAAGAAGACTAACTAATGGTATAATAAATATATACAAATCTAGGTGTTATACAGTGCTTCAGAAGTTTACTTTCTTTGAATCTGCTCCCTCTGGGGTCGGTTTTCTGGAAATATAGTGTCTCAGTTTTTAAGCAGATGACATCAGCTTGATATATCATTAAAACCCAGCAGTTCCCATTAAGATAACATTCATGTGACAGTGGAGTGGCAACCAAGTGGTTAGTGAATAGAGCTTGGAATCTCGAGGTTCTGAGTTTGAGCCCCAATCCCACAGACTGTCACTCTGGGTCCTTAAGCAACCAACCCCACACTGCTCCCAGGGCGCCGCACAATGGCAGGCCACTGCTCCCCAAAGGGATGGGTTAAATGCAGAGGGTTTGTTTTATACTTGTGACAGTGTAATGACAATAAAATGCTGGGAGTGTGTGCTTATGTGAGAGTATAAAAGGAGCTGAACTTGTTTTTAACAGACAGCTGCCTGTTTATTTAGTAAATCTGACGGGGTGCACTCTTCTGGCTGTGTGTCATGTTTTGTACTTTTGATTTCACTCAAGGTCAAAACTCCCTTTATGCTGGACAACTCCCTATGTGGCATGGTAGTGGAAAGTGTGAAATCCTGGCTAGCTAAGTAGAAAACTACACCAGACATTTTCCATTGTTGTCTTTAAAGAGACATGAAAACTATGAAACCAGTAAACAAGCTCAGACTTTTACCATCATGATACTAAACCTTACAACAAAGATATCTTTGGTTTGCCTCTTTTTACCAATAAGGAAAGTTTACCTTGTTGTAGTTAGGTTAATTTTATTTAGAAGTGTGCAGGTAAAATGGGATGACAACATGCAAACTAAGCAAGTTTTTTTAGTTTAATTCTGTCCCAGTGGAAGTGGAGGTTTGACAGGACCCAAATGCAGACGTGGTTACTTGAATGTTTAATAATAAAAAGGGTAACAGAAGCAAAAATCCAAAAACATGAATCCACAAAATTCTATAAATGCTGAAAACCAAGAATACTTACAACAAGAAGAGCACAAAGTAATGACGACAAACCAGCAAAGAGTAACTGAGCAGGAGAGTTATATGGGAGAGTGAAACAAAGAGCAGGCTAATTAGCAGATTGGGAGCAGGTGTGAACAGAGGCAAGAAGGGAGCTACGGAAAAATGAGACTGACACAAGAGGGCCAACAGGAAATATCGAAGAACTCAAATACAATCAAAATACCTTGAACACAAGATTGAAAAATAAGACCAATGAAAACTCAGATATAAAACTTGAACAGAACCAAAACCATGACAAATTCCTAAACATACATTTTTTTGCACTTTGCAGCCCTTCACTACTTTGAACTGGCTTATCTGATAAATCAAAAAGAAACCCACTCAACTTAGTGTTAATGGTGTTAATTGATTGATTGTCTTTATTGATCACACAATGGAGAAATGTACTCACTACATCAGCTCAAATAGTCAAGAAGAAGAATGGGCCAAAGGAAGAAAAAGGTAAATGGAATAAATACAGTGTATTCAGTTCATCCACATATGAGAGCTTTTTTTAAATAAGATCATTATACAGTGTTATTGCACAGGGTTATTTATATAGATGGATATTTATAGTTATATATATAGTTATTGCATTGGGTTTCAGATATAGAGAAACAGGTTATTCCACAGGGCATTGAATAGTTAATTATGGGAAACTCTACATAATCAGAGGCGTAGCCAGAACATTTTTATAATGGTGGCCAGGCAATAACCAGTGTACACTGAGGGGTGGCCCAAAGTAGATAGTCACCAGAACCTCACGGTCAATTTACACTGTTCCAACAGGAAAATTAACTAGAAAAACATCCATATTTTCTAAATAAAGACAAACTATACTTTCCCACAGCCTTTGCTAACAAATAGACAAATATATTTAAACATCTGTGCTTTCTAGATAAAAGGTAAAGTGGATAAAATTCTTTCAGGTTTGAGTTTTGAGCGAACATCTTTTCTATTGTCATACCTTACCTACTTGTATCAATAATCATTCTGCATAAAATTGGCATTAACAAGTACTAATATCTACATAAAATGATTATTTAATGTTTTATTAAAATAGTTGTTTATCTATGATTTCATTGAAGACTCTTAGATGACTTGCAGAGACGCATCATTTTCTCTTTACCTCATAAAACACAAAATCTATTTCTAAAAAGAGCATCAATTCTGCACGTATCATCTTTAATGTTAGTATATTGATGTGCAAAATTAACCACAGTGTTTTTGTTGTCAAGTGTATGTTCATATATAATATTAATATTAAGGGCTGGTTATACTCCTACAGCAGTGTGTCGCTTGACGCGACTTTCTTTATTTATGCTCAATATTCAAGCATGGTCTGCGCTATACGCTGTGGGTCTAGATACGGCCAAGGACCTGAGGAAGTGGGGGTGAGTTTGTCAGACAACGGAGAAACATGATGGTGAAAAAGAGCCGGGATCCAGGTGGAAAAACGGTCCCAGCGTTCTTGCACACCTCGCTCTTCTAGCTGGTCCACCTTCACGAGTTGTTTTCCGCAATTGCGGTCAGAAAAACAAAACAAGTCGGTCTCATGTCTGTGGCACTGTCTGCGGTCAGTTACAGTGTGGGAGAGGTGCAGCAGAGTGTCTGCAGATGACCTAGTTTGGAAGTATAAATAAGCCTTTAGAGGGAAATTGATTGGGTAAGGGTGGGCATGGCCACCCCTGGCCACCCATCTAGCTCCGCCCCTGTAGATAATAGGTTGCAGCTTTTTTTCTTCTTTTTTTTTTTACCATTAGTTAAATGCATGGAAGTCATATCTTCTATTTATATGTTGAGGTTAGAGTGAATATGAAATAAAATCAAACTAAAGCTGCAGCAGAGGAAGATGTAGTTTCAGTATGCAGCAGTCTAACCTACTTACAATCCCCCCTGTCATTATCAGAGTCCAGCGCTTCGGGCCGACTGAGCTTTTACCAGCAAATACTCTTGAACCAGGAGCAGCATCTCTAAAAAAGAAACAAATCTGTCGGACTTTGTGGTTTGATATACTCACCTTTAGCAGACATGCCCGGTAGGTAGAGCCTCTTTTCTTTTGCTGAGACCGAATAGTCGAAGAAGCAGAGCCGCTGCAGCAGCTTAGAGGAAACTGGCAGTAGATGATCTTTGCTTTAACTTATTAAATGGCATTAAATGGCAGGGAAACATTCAGCGGGTTGGACTGGAGAGGAAAACGCGATGGAGAGAGCAGTTTCCAGCTGCAGGGCGTGTCCTGGAAAAGACAGCATCATTTCTTTTTTTTATCTCCCAAATAGTTTCTGTCCATATTTGAACATGATATCAGGTAATTATTCAGTAATTAATAAGGTTATTGATTAAATGCATTCTCCTGCAGCTGGATTCAGGTCTAATGAATGTTACAGCGGCTCCCTGTCTGAGACCACTGCGCTTATATGTTGCAAAGCTGACAGAAAATCCTGCAGGTAAATGGGCAGATTTGCAGTTAAATGTTGGAGAAACGAGCTGTACCTGCAGATTGGGGTTACATAAAAAACATGGGTTCGTTTGGGAAAAATTATTGCACTTAAAGGAAATTTATTTGCAGTTTGTTTATTAATGAGTTCATGCAGAACAGCCACTACAGCTGACAGTTATTCAAAGGTCGTTTTCTTTCATGCGTTTGTGTGTGTTTTTAGTATGTAAACCACATCTGTGGCCTCTTTTGTGTGCACTGCCCCCTACTGGGTGATTGTAGTCAGTTCAAATATTCAAACTTTCATTCTGTCGAGGACCAAAAAGGGCCACAATCCTAAAAATGTAATTTAAATAAAATGTTGGTTTATTAAAGGCACAAACAGTAATATAGACATATATATATAGACATATATACACACATATATAATATACATATTAATAAACTGTGTTTGTTAAAATTAGATTTCAAAATAATAAATTAGATATTGAAAATATAATTAATTTGAATCATACACTATCATTCCATAGTTCCTTCACTAATAATATAATTTATATTCATATAATATATGAATTTTATTGATCTCACATTGGAGAAATTTACCTCTGCATTTCACCCATCTCCTTGGGGAGCAGTAGGCTGCCATTGTGGGTCACTGGGGAGCAGTGTGGGGTTGAGGGTCTTCTTCAGAGACCCAGAGTGGCAGTCTATGGCAGTGGCGCTTAAACTCAGAACCTCAGGATTTAAAGCTCTATGCCTTGACCACCAGGCTGCCACTCTCCCTCCACCACCTCCAACTAAAACCAGACAGACCATGACATTTGATTGGTTATGATGCACTCTTGTCAATAAGTTGGCAAGTCAGATGGAACACGTGTAGAACTCCGGTGTAGAGCTCCACACTATTAAAATGGGACTGTCCCCATTGGATCTGTTCAGACAGACGAGGAATATTCCGAAGAAGCTTTTGAGCTGGACGAAGCAACACCTAGTTGGGTTTAAGCCAATCGTGGTAACAAATGGAAAAGCAGCAGACACCATAAGAAACCACAGATAGCAACAGTTAGGTGGGCACCTTTCCATGCTGCCATGTTTATTGCGGTTTGGGCTCAGCAGCTCTCACTTTCATCACAGCTATATGTCCTGATTTAAAGCATAATACTGCAACATGATTGGCTGACCCGTTTTGGCTAGGTCCTGAATAATTTAAGGCAAAGTGGTACAAGATGGATTTCTGTGCATTTGTGAATGCATAAATACTTAAGAATTCATATTATAGGCCAGGTTGAATTGTCAGTGGTTTTCACACTGACTACAATACCATGGATGAGATGGTCAAATTCATGAGGTTCTTTAATACAGAGATAGTACATTTATTTTTATACACTTAGATGTATAATTACATGTTTTTATGTATTATTATTTAACTTTTTCATATTGACATTTCTTACAAGTATTTGTGCAATAACAATATCTATGTATTGTGTTACAGCACTTCAGGCTCTTGATATAAACGTGCTGCAAAAATTCTTATATTGGATTAATCAAAAAACTAAGGCATTAAATAATTTGAAGATCTTTTAATAATGTTTAGTAATTGATTAAATGCACAGGTGACTATTAAAGGTGTAAGTCATTAATCAAAAATAATTCATATTTCACATACATATATAAAACCTTGTTTTGTGCAACACCCTTTTATGACACAATTTGAGCTTCAACTATGATTTCTCAAATAGAGAAAAATATTTGAGTGGTTAACCTACAAAGCTGTATTTACCTTGACTGCAGGACAGTAGACCTTATCTATCACTTGATGAGTATTGTTTGGAGATAAAATAAATATTAAATTTAATTGTCAGAATCTTACGAGCATTTTTTCCACATTAAATAATTGCACAATGTTTTAAGACATAGCTTTAATAAAACGTATGTGGTTGTTTTTTCTATAAAGAAATTTTAAACATATAGTCACTAATTAAGCCCAGATCAGACAGCAGAATTATCTCCAACTAATATAATGCCATAAAGCTATCTAAACATGGGAATACAGAATCCATAAAGAGGAAATGGGCAAAAGAAATTAAGGTTATAATCTCACAAGAAAGCTTGGAGGGAATATGTCAGTAGCAGTGGGTCTCAACCGGATCAAACACATGGCTGGAGTTCTGCTGGAAAAACATCATACGATTTTTTGTTACACCCATTCAGAGACGATATCAAAACAACGGGCTGCTGGAGACTCTGCAGGTCTAAAGGAGCCAACCACTTCCATGTTTTTTGAGACTGTCAGGTAATAAAACCATATTGGGAAGATCTTCACAAACATATTGAAATATATTCAATAAGCATTCCATTCAAATGTGAAACGTATCTGGGCAACTTAAAATTGGACACATGGACTAATAAAGGCAAATAACTTCTACTGGCAGCCAGTAAGAAGGCCAAACCAGATAAATGGATTGAAATTGTTTACCTGATTTATGTTATGGAAATGATCTATTTTTCCCTCCAAGTCAAAAAAGAAAAATTTGATAAGATCTGGTGCAAATGGACTGAGTATGTAAAACTAATTAGATCTGACTTCATCTGATACATTTAGCAAAATCCTATATGCATCAATTGTTGTTGAATTTTCTCTTATTACTGCTTCAGTGACTCCAGCTGTGGGTTTGACTCACCAAGAGTTGCAGAAAATGATAAAAAACAAATAAAAAGCATGTTGTAACTCATTCCTATTATATAAAGAAATACAAATACTAGATTAAATACAATGAACTCTGTTAAACTTGCATAAAAGATGCAATAGTGCATGTATTTGTGGTTTTCATTGTACGACGTGGTGCAATCCCCATAGTTGTTCAATTCTGTTCACTTTTGTTATTAATTACAAATAAGTTAGAGTTAGTGATATTCTGTAAAAATACAGGTAATGCAGCATGGACAAAATCATTGGACTTTCTGTTTATATCCGCAGATACAATCTTAAATGGGTAAAGCTTTAATTACTGAATTTGATGGAAGCCTGTCTTTCTAAATAAAATAAAAATATATATATAAAAAAATAAATTTCAAACATATAAGAAAAGTTAAACCATACTTAATATTTAAGAAAATAATATTTTGAAAAGATTTATTAAATTATTAGATTGTGTCCTTTTTGGTTCTCGGTGTTTTTAGCCTCACCCTTACAAACTGGAAACATTGATTTTATGTCTGACTGTTGTCCTGTGCGAGTACGCCCCCTGGTGGCGGGTATCAAGCGTCTGGCGAGGGAAGTGCCACCGTGTCCAAAGTGAACCTGTCTGTCCCAGAGTCTGGAGACGTCTCGTTTAAAGTAGTCGTAACGGGCCGGTAAAGTCCCGAGGGACACGACCTGCCGCAGGTTTATTGCTTACATTGAATTCTTTCGTTACAAGGGTCAGTGTATGAAACCTCCAATCTGGAGCGAGGCGGCAACAACAGGAAGAAGAAGATAGAGGAATTCTCTAGGTCTTCTCGGGAGAAACTGGTTCAGTCGAAGAACAAGATGTTCTCCAAATTTACGTCCATTCTGCAGCATGCTGTTGAAGCGGTGAGTATTTGTATTTTAAATTGTCTCGGGCTTCTATTTATGATATTAAGTTTGGTCAAAACGGCATATTGTCTCACAAAGTCGTTAGCATTGGGCTGCTAACTAGCAAGCTAACAGTTAGCATGACAAATCGGCTGTGTCACCTTGTTTCTTGTCTTTCACTGCTCTTAGCTTTGGTTTATTTTTGTTTTTTAATGGCTCTAAATGTTGAAAGTTGTATGTATTATTACTAATTACCTAAGATAAACCTTTTAGATCTTGATTCGCCAGCTGAGCTAAATGCTAAGCTAATGTCGTAGTTAGCTATCCTATTTCAAACAGTGATGACGAGGGGTTGAAATTTTTGGACAGTGTTTTTTGATGTTGCGCAAATATACCAGAGCGAATTTGTGGCCAGTCTGCCTCAGTAATTAGTGAAAAGTAAACATTAGACGTTTTAAAGCTGCCAAACAATAAGCACTAGCTTACACCTGTTTCCAAAACTGTTCTGCTCCCATTGTTTGCATCTGTAAACATTTGACTGGTTTCCTGAAACACATGTGCTAACATGTTTTAATTTAAAAAGAAAAAAATATATATATAAAAGGCTATTATTAATGGGATTTGGAAAGGTATTTTTGTTTATCCAGAATTCCTTACTCTTAGTTGTTTAAATACATTTGCCATTAAAACAGTAAATCATCTTCTACCTGCAAAATTAAAGGTATTAATTAGTTTTATTATGGACGGATATCAGGTACGGTTCTAGACAGGGGCACTGCCCCCCCTGTACTGGAAACTGCTAAAACTGAAATATAAGCAAGTATTTTATTTTTTATTTTTTTTTCTTATTGAATAAATTGTATTTTCCCTTGTTTTGAGCAGGTCAGTAAGAAAATGTGCCAGGGGAATAAGATGATTTACAAAGGAGAAAATAATCAATCCTATTGCAGATCGTCTTATTTACCTGCTGGAATTAGGCCGAAATGCACTTTTTTTTTTTTTTAAGAAATGTTTACTTATTCTTAATGTTGATACATTTTTTTATGATATGTGCTAACTGAAGACACCATAACTTTTTCATTCCTTGGGCCAATTCAGTCCAATTTTGTGTAAGGGTGCATTCACTCAGCTTTAATGAGTTATTATTTCGTAGAGCAGGAGTCTACACTCTCTGCTTTTTGTCTCACTTAACACCATGCACTCTTGTCCTGTTTTCTTTTTTCTTTTTTTTTTTTAATTTCTTCTTATTATTTCGTTCTGTGTTGCCATAAAAAAAAAAAAAAACAGGCCTCCCTGGTAAATTTTGTCTAGAACCACCACTAGTTCAAGTAACAAATGTTTATTTTTTGTTATACAGATGCATGAAAGATGTTGCAAGAAATATTTGATTGATTTGGGGAAGAAAAAAAATCACTTATCTTCTTGAAAAATAAATGCAGCACCCTGTGAATGCACCCTTATACAAAATAGCAATGGTTAGGTTGCTTAGAGGGGGGGAAAAAAGAAATGAAAGATGATTTTATTTAAGATATGTTTAGCTTGGTATTATTGGAGATTCCAAAAACTGCAGCACCGGAAAACAAATAAAAGGCTGTTTTTTGAATCGCCATCGCAGCCATTTAGACGGTTAAACAACAACTTAATTTATATTTATTTGTATAACACTATTCATACTTAAGTTAATTCTTAGTGATTCACATTAAAGTTTATATTACAGCTACATTTTAAAGAACTGAAAACAGACATTTGAACATAATACATCACAAAGACATGATGATATTTTACCATTATAAATGCTTATTTTCACATTGGTTTGTTTTTCAGCTTGCCCCATCGCTGCCCTTGCAAGAGGATTTTGTCTACCACTGGAAGGGAATTACGCATTATTACATTGAGACTTCTGGTAAGAAATGTCTAAGATGTGGTCTTAATAGCTGTGATAAAGAGACTGATTGTTTCATAGGTTTATTTCTGTGTTGTTTACTGGTTGGTCCATTAGCAGCGTTGCTCCTTTTTTTTAAATTAGCTGAGAGCAAAATGGCATTTTCAAAAAAGGGATAGCTTTGGTTGAGCAGAAGTGCTGTTTTTTAAAACTATTTTTTACCAGACTCTGGGAGGATTATCCTAAAACATATTTTATTTTGATATCATTACTGTGTTTTATGGACTCTACCCTCATTTGTGTTGTCTGTAAACTTAGATGGATTACTTTTAAGATGGATAAAGATCAGTGGAAAAAAGCAATAATTATGTATTTGGAAGGCAAACTGTGTATTATAGAGTAGCTTTTTCTGAGAAAGCACACAATAGAAAATAACTTAAAGATTCAAAGAATGCTGTTTGGTTGCCTTTCATCATACTGGGTTTCCTTCTGTGTGTTAAAGTAGTTTTAGCTGATAATACCACACAAATGTCTGATGGTTAAAAAGCAAACTCTTCAAAGTAATACTTCTCATCAGAGCTACACAATTTATTGAATGTACTTCTCATTACAATGGAAGTCTTAGCTAATAAATGCCTTGATGTAATTTATTGGTTTTATATTTTAAGGGAAATGCACCAATACTAATGACATTGTGGTCTGCCTCGGACTTTCTGAACTAGACAGCTGAATGCAATAATGAACTTGTTCAATCTAATGCATCTCTGTCAGTGGCACTAAAATATTCCAATATTTCCTTAACAGATAAAGGGAGATTTTGTGAGGAGCTACTGTTTACCCAATTTTTTTTTTTTTTTTTTTTTGTTAGATCTCACAAAGGATTTTGGTGAAATCTTATATTTTCTCCATTAACTCAGTCTGACCTTCCTGATAATGATCCTTTTCAGTGTAGCCACATTTAGTACATAGATTGAGCCTTCTGCTTTGATAAAGTGACTCTAAGCTTTACGAACATGTATGTATATGACATTATAATTAGGGATGAACCGAAGTGAAAATTCTTGGCGGAAAGCAAAAAAATTTGGAAATCAAGGCAGAAAACTGAAACATCAGAAGAAGTTATTTTAAATATTAAAATCAAAGCATTTCCAGCTACAGTGTATACTAACTATCAAAAAACTCATATTAGCTTGTTAAACCCAAGGTATTTCAATAAATTATAAACTATTCAATAACAAATGTTCCAAAAATATTTATTTACCAGTGACATTATTATAGTATTTACATTTGCAGAATCTCTAGGAAACTTTTCTTGCCTTTTCAAGCACATAATTCTCAGACTTATGCTGCGTTCACACCGGACGCAGCTGGCGCGGCAGAAGCAGCGAGTTTACATGCAAAGTCAATGGTTGACGCGCGTCAAGGCGCGTTTTGAGCAGCAGGCGCGTTTTGAGCAGCAGGCGCAGCGCGTCTGAGCAGCTGAAGCAGCGCGTCGGGCGCGTTTAAGCATCTGACGCGCCGCAAACGCGTTGCTGCTCGAGATGGAAAAATTGAATTTTTGCTGCTCGACGCGCCACGTCAACCAATCAGAGAAGCTGATCTGGGAGCTGGCTGGGAGAGAGACACAGCGCTGATGACACAGACCGCTCTGATCACTCCTCTTAAACAGTTTATTAACGCATAATTAACTTAAAATGCATACATCTGCTGGCAGAATATGTTCGCTTTTATTATTCTGGTGCCTGCAGATCGGATAATTTAGATGAAAAACACCTACCAGCCGCCGCGGTGAACCGCGAGGAGGCGACCCAGCCAGAGGCTGCTGTTGAAGGGATTCCTCCTGTCGGCGCACCGCTGGTATGTGGAGGCCTGAGCGGCTCCGACAGAAATAACATTGGGAGGCAGGATTGTAATCTGGATGAACTGACTGCACTGATGAAGTTTTCAGGTGTATTTTCTCACTTAAAAACATATTAAAACTACTTTATTCCCACTGATCACAGCAAATATAGCTGCAAGGCAGAGAAAGGATAGAGAAGCTCCGCCCAACGCGCGTCAGACACACTTTTGCACCGCCGACCAGAGCAGCAAAGCTGCTTCAGCCGCGCGTCAAAACTAACTGGTACAAGCATCAAAAATGAAGCAGCAAACGCGATTTTGCTGCTTTTGCTGCATCCGGTCTGAACGTAGCATTAGTGGCATGTTTGGTGTCAGTTTCCTTTTCCATGTCGCATTCTTCTTATATTTAGAATGGCGATAGGGACGTTTTGACATCTATGGCATTTTGTTCCACTGACCTGAGCGCACAATGAGACCGATGAGCAGCGATTAAACTCGCACCCCCTCACTCGCACGCTAAATTTTCTGTCTCTCTACCTGTGCTCCTTTTCTTCGCGTGCTTTCCTTGCGATCCTTTTGCACCCGCACTGGGAGCGCTGTGTGTCACATCATCACAAGTTTCGGCTGCTTTGTATCGGTTTTAAATGTCCAACCGCAGAAAACCAAAAATTAACTTTCTAGTTAAAGTTGGACGAAAGTTTTCAGTGGCTGAATATCTGGTGCATCCCTAGCTATAATATTTAATCGATTGGGACCCATGTTTTATGGTTATTTTTACACAGCTTACTTAACTTACAAGAAAGAAAAGTAAACAAACAGGCATGTCTATTTTGTTGTTTTATCTTTTACAGGTGTATGTTTTACCCTTTTTTTTATTTAATTGATATTTTGTCCTATTTTTAATCCACTAATCCATCAGAGCACCAAACTTCATACAACAGATCAGGATCCAGGGTTTAAATGATCAGTTTCATTTTTGTTTTGTTTTTATCTGATGTAGAAATGTGAAAAGGTGTTTTTATTTTATTTTGGGTATTTATTTTACTTTCTTTGGACATTTTTATTATATGAAGATGGTTTGTGTTTCTGTTAGATGACAAAGCCCCAGTCACAGACACCAACATCCCGTCCCACCTGGAGCAAATGCTGGACATTCTGACCCAGGAGGAGGCTGAAAGGGAGTCTGGTGAGACTGGACCATGCATGGAGTACCTCCTGCACCATAAGATCCTGGAGACCCTCTATACATTAGGCAAAGCTGATGTAAGGAGGCGTTAAATGTATATATTTCTAGTTAATGTTTTTTTTATATATATATATATATATATATATATATATATATATATATATTTTGGTAAAACTTTCATCTGTAATTGTTGTGCAGAGCTGATTTCTGAACATTATGTTTCAGTGTCCTCCTGGCATGAAGCAACAAGTCCTCACCTTTTACACCAAGCTGCTGGCTCACATCCGTCAGCCTCTTCTGCCACACATCAACGTCCACCGACCTGTACAGGTAGAAATATTGACTGGTTGTTTCTGCTCTTGGTTTATAATTAAACATGGCGGGACATGTCATTTATTAGGGGCTTTTCCGTCTCATTAATGTGTCAGAAATTGATCCGGCTGTGTGGAGAGGTTCTGGCTGCACCTACAGAAAACGAGGAGATCCAGTTTCTTTGCATCGTCTGTGCCAAACTGAAGCAGGACCCATACCTCGTCAACTTCTTCCTTGAGGTGGGTTCTTGTCAGTCTTGGAAGAAATAGGAGATTCAAGGTTTTTATTAATTATAAAAATGTAAGAATGTTTTTTTTTTTTTTTTTTTTTTTTTTTTTTATGTTTGCAGAACAAATCAAAGAGATCTGACATTAAGAGTCCTGCTGCAACAGAAGCAGCCAACGCTGGTGTCCTGGCTCCAGACACTGGTCAGTCTCAGGCAGACCCCCCTGGAGAACCACAAGCTGCTGCAGCTGCTGCCTCCACCTCCAGCCCAACTACTAACAATAATAACACCAACAACTACAACTTGGTCACCTCACTCCTGAACCTCACAAAGAGTCCCGTAAGTGGCTCCTTCATGGAGAGCTGCTGTTTGTTTTTAAATATTGATTGTATGGTGATTGTCGTTAGTGCTGAAAACTACTCCAAAATAAAGTTAGCAGGGCATTTAAAAATGAAGTCAGATAATGCAGAGAGATGCAAAAATCTATTGAACGAAAAAAGACCTTCAGCTGATAGCAGGATGGTTAAATAATTGTAGAGCTTTCAGCCTCTGTCTTCCCTAAAAATTACTGAAATCAGTTTTTTAGGATACACACTTAAACTTAGGCTGGGGCAATGCTATCCATGCTAAGTATGCTCTAACATAAGATGGTAAAGATTAGGGCTGAATCACTAATCAGATAATTGTAATTCATTGATTATTGTAATAATCATCAACTAATTTAGTAATTGATTAACCGTTAACTGGAGTGTAGAGATTCTAAAACATGCCTAAGCTGACAGAGACCCACTTACAGCAGTGATTAAACCAAAATACAAAATATATATATATATATGTCAATATACTCTATCCAGCACTGCTTAAGTGGAAAAGTTTTACTTTCACTTGGTTCAATTTCGTTAAAAATCTTTTTAAGGAAACTTTGGCTGTCCGATTATTAATAAAAAAAAATCACAACAGATTAATCGATTTGCAAAACAATTGTTAGTTGCAGCCCAGTATAGATAGTAAACCAGTAAATAGCAGCGTTAAAACATTGGTATCGGCAAATCAATGCTTCAGTTAAAACTGAAGATTAGAAATAAGCAGAAAGAATCTGATCGCTTCTGATTTGAAAGTTTCACCTTCTTATTTTTGTTTTCTCTTTAAGGATGGCAGGATAGTGGTGAAAGCATGTGAGGGCTTAATGCTCCTCGTCAGTTTGCCAGAGCCGGCTGCTGCGAGGTGTTTAACGGAAAACACTGAACTCTGTGAGCTGCTCACCGAAAGGCTGGTCTCCTTTTATAAAGCCCTGCCTCCGTCCATCGATCCCATGGACATCGAGACGGTGGAGTCAGTCAACTGGGGGTGATTTGGATTTTTATCGTCTTTGAAGCACATTTTGTGTGTAACTTTTAAAATGGCCTAACGAGTTATTTTTCTCCTTTTTGTCTATTTTAGTCTAGATGTATACAACCTAAAGGAGGACGCTGCCATCTTCACAGGGAAGAGAGCTTTGATATCATTCCTGTCGTGGCTGGATTACTGCGATCAGCTCATCAAGGAGGCTCAGAAGGTTTTTTTTTTTTAACAGCTCTGACTAGCTGTGCTTTGATGTGTCATACTGTCATCTGGATTGACAGAACTATTGATGTTCTCTCTCTAAGAGAGTTATTTATTTAACGGCACAGAAGGCTGATCTGCATGTTTTGTTTTTCTGTCTTCCAGTCAGCAGCTGCAGTGATGGCAAAAGCAGTGAGAGAAAGGTTCTTTGTGTCCGTGATGGAACCACAGCTTATGCAGACGTAAGTGCTGCACTGATTCATCCGTCAATCATCCGGAGTTGACATTTGTAGTCATGTCGGCGTGCTGTGTGAGTCGTGACGGTTCTGAAACATGTGTCCCTGCAGGTCTGAGGTGGGCATCCTGACCTCCACAGCCCTGTTGAACAGGATCATAAGGCAGGTGACCTCGGACGCTTTGCTGCAGGAGATTGTTTACTTTCTGCTGGGAGAGGACAAGGAAGCAGAAACTCTGGCAGCGATGGCTCAGAATCCACTCAGGCACAGACTCATCGAGCACTGTGACCATCTGTCAGATGAGGTTCTCATCACATTGGATCTATTATAACAAAAATGTTCTGCTGCAATACAATAGCAAGTTTTAAAGTGTTTTTTATAACAGAGCAACACAAAGTAGTTCATGGTTGTTAAGTGGATTAATAAATTAGGGAATTTATTTTATAGATAATCATTTAAAGTGTGTGCTGCATTCATGTGGAGTAAAGATTAGAACCACCTTTTAGATCCAATCACAGCTTTAAGTCTCTGCTGCACATAGAGATATCTGCCCATTCCTCTCTACTAAATAGGTCAAACTCATTTAATTTGTCTTGAAATTTTACATTTTTAGTCTAACCACTGATTCTTGGTTATACTTTTATCTTGACTTTGAATGGACCATTTCACCACAGGATGTAAACCACTGCATCAGAGCTCAGGCTGCTTATTTGGGGTATTTTCATGATGGCTATAGGGATAGGCAAACGATTTATCATTAATTCTTTATATTCGATAAGACATTTATTGTGCGTCGATAACATTTCCACAAGGTGAATTGGTATAGTTGGTTTATATTTTTTTCACAGCTGTTTGTTTCCTAAGAGCAGCAATAAAATAATTATTTTTTTTAGAAATATATTTTTCTTAAAGAATGCAACTTAATTTAGTTTACAGTGGGTTTATTAATACAGATCCACCACTTAATGTGTCCTAAAATATTCCTTTTAATAATCAGCAAGTTGTTCCTCGTTGATAATTTCTTGTTTATTTGTGAAAGCATATTTTTCCTTGTGTGGCTTTAAATGGGATTAAATCAGCAATTTAATGGTCATCTCAATCCATTCCAATGAATCAATATGGGGAGTGGTGGCCTACTTTTTACAGCATTGTGCTTGGTTCTAAGTTTAAGCCCCAACACTCCCATAGACCGCCATTCTCGGTCCCTGAGCAAAACCCTTAACCCCATACTACTCCCGCTGCACCGCACAATGGCAGCCCACTGCTCCCCAAGGGAGTCCACATTGTGGGACAATAAAGGGATTTACATTTTAAACACCATCTCTGCGCTTAAAAAGGGAAAACTCCTGCATCCTCTCAGTGTTTTGCTGCCTACTGCAGTTAATTTAACATTATCGTTCCACATTTAGCTCCATCCATCCTCCTGTCAACTCATTCATGGTAAAGAGAAGCTTTTCCGCAGCATGACCCGGCCACCATCATGTTTAAATGCTGATGATACAGTTAGCTTTCTAGTTGGCGTGAATCTCTCAGCTGCTGCTCCTCGCCAAGTCTGTCGGTTTCGGACGGCAGCCATGTTTCCGAAGGTTTTATTTATGGTTTTTGGAGAAGGTTCAGGATAAAGAGTCAGATTTAGATTTTTATTGTATTTAGAAAACATGGTGTCATTTTCTGTCCACTTAACAGTTGTGTGCTCCTTTGTGTTTATCTCATGAAATTAAACAAAGAATACTATGAATGATATGGTTTTAATTTTCAATGATATTTTCCTTTTATAAGAATTTTCATTGGAAATATTTTTTGTATTGTACAGTTGTGCTTGTTTAGGTAAATAACTAGCTACTGAAATGAGAAACATGAAAGCTAAAAATCCGTAATTAGAGCATGAATGGTTTTTCATACACATCTATCACACAAAACAAAGATGAATCATTTTTGTATTGTTAAAGCAAAGGCAGCCTACCGTTTGTCCGTGAACAAACTCTCGGCTCGTCGTTCTGGCACATCACTTCTTCCCCCTTTTGTCTGCAGATCAGCATCATGACGCTGCGGTTGTTTGAGCAGCTGATCCAGAAGCCCAACCAGCACATCCTTCACAGCTTGGTGCTGCGCAACCTGGAGGAGAGGAACTACCTGGAGAACAAACCGCAGGAGGAGCGGGAGCCCCTGGAGAACGGCCAGCCCCACGATGCTGTGTAAGGACCGGCTGCCACGACCTGCAGACTTAAACCAGCTTTTCTGGAGAGCTTCTGCTCAAACATAAAACAGTGGAAATAAACAAGATGCATCAGATCTGTTTTGTTAATATGTTGCCACTTGTTCAGCTTGTTTATTTTCCTTTTCTCTGGTGCTGTGATTAAATAATGATGCTTCTAATGCAGCTCAGCTGCCTCTTAGCATAATTCAAAGTTGTGGGAGAATGAAATCCAGCGAGCATTAATTAGCCTCCTTCCTTGTCGTTGGTTAATGAGATCTAATGAAACAATTTGAACAAATCCTCTCCAGATTTCTTGTTTTCTGTTTCTCCACCAGCAGCTGCTTGATAAGCTGCAGATGTTTTGCACCTGTTTGGTGAACGTTCAAAATTAAGATCCAGACATTTTCAGATTAGGGTTCTGAGCCAATGGTATTAAAATATAATTTGATAAAAGAAATAAAATAGGTTAGACTTGCATGCATTTCATAAAAATATGATATTCTCAAACAGTTCCCTGATGATTAATAAGAACAAATCTGCACCCTCTCTGCAGAGATCTTGAAGAGGATCCGCTGTTCGGAGATGATCTCTCCCCAGACAGCAGGCTGTCTGGCTCCGACTGGTTTGGCTCCACCCCCCAACACAGTCCAGATCACGCAAAGTCTGACGGGAAGACGGAGGTTCACAAGATAGTCAACAGGTGCTGAATCTGTCCCTGATGGGCTTTTCTATTGAGCCTGAAATTCTGACTCTAGCCCGTCTTTCCTGCAGCTTCCTGTGTTTGGTGCCTGATGAGGCCAAGTCATCGTATCATGTTGAAGGCACCGGCTATGACACCTACCTCAGAGATGCACATAGACAGGTAGGCTTCCCTCCTCCCTGGACGCCGACGCACAGGTAGCCTTTTTTTCTTTGTTCAAGCGTTTTGTTGTTCTCCTCAGTTCAGGGACTTTTGTGGCATCTGCCAGCGGTGGGACTGGAGAGGAAACCCAAAGCCTCTGGAAAAGTGTAACTTGGACATGCCGTTCTTCGAGGGTCACTTCCTTAAGGTTCTCTTTGACAGGATGGGTCGCATCCTTGATCAAGTGAGTTTGATATGATCTAAATTCTTGTTGGGATCAATGTCAAGATAAAAGTCGTTTTTCAGTCTGTAAATGGAAGAAGGAGGAAACTGTTGAACTGTCTCTCTTAAAATACCGAAAATCAAGTTCTCTGTAAATTATTGCGTAAATGCTTGTGTGTCGCCTGCTGTCTGTAGGGTAGCACCTGAACATGAATGAAATATCCAGGAAGTTAAATAAAAAAGTGTTAAAAGTATTTTAGAAACCATCATATAAAAGTGGCTTTAACTGTCGGGTAACAAAAAAAAACACAATCTGGGGTGTGCAGGTTGCGCACGACCCATGTATGAAGGCCTTAGTGCACGGCCAACCAGGGTTCGAATCCAACCTGTGGTCCTTTGCTGCATCTCTCTCCCCCGCTCTCATACCCTCTTTCCTGTCAGACTACTGTCAAAAAAAGCAAACCACTAGTGCTGCAAAAAACGTAAAAAAAAAAAAAAGACAATCTGTTTGTGAAAAGGTTCTCTGTTGATAAAAAAAATATCTAATGCTGTATTTAGACCATCTATTCTGATGTCCCTAGATACAAAATTGTGTAAATGATTCTACCTGGTTTCTACTTAGTTTTTACCATTGGTTGGAGAATGTCTGTCTCTACAAGCATTTATGGTGAATTTATCTAACATGACTTTGATGAATCCATTCTTGGTCATACATATAAAACAGAGGTGTCAATCCTTCAGAGGTGCTCTATCCTGCAGCTTTTAGCTGCCTACTCTCTCCACCCCACCTGTCTCTACAGAACAGAATGGTTTAGAGTTACTCTTCACTGATTTAAACTATTCCTTTAAGGGCAGATTATACTCCTGCAACCGCACACATCAAATGTCGCTTGGATCTTGTCGCGAACCAGTTTTGCTGGTATGCTTCTGCACCATCTGTCTGAAATTTCTAGGGACGCACAGCAGTTTCACGCAATGGGGAGCCTATTAGAGCAGTGTTTTTCAACCCTGGTCCTCAAGGCACACTGCTCTGCAAGTTTTGGATGTTTCTGAGCTTCAGCACACCTGATTCAGATGATTGCAGTTCAGCAAAGCCTGATAATCTGCTATCAATTGATAACAGGTGTGTGAAAGCTGGGAAACATCTAAAACATCCAGGGCAGGGTGCCTTGAGGACAAGGGTTGAAAAACACTGTATTAGAGAACTCGCAAGAAACAGCCAGAAAGTACCAAGGACCAATCGCAGCTGTTTTTTTGTCTGCGCGACGACGGTTGCAGAAACTCTGCATTGACCTTTATAACTGTTTAGTGATGTGGTCCAGCTGGCTGGTAAACCTCAGATCTTTGGACCCTCCATCAGTTTTCTTTTTCTAGGATGCCCTATTAATTAACCCCACAGCATAATACAGCCACCTACATGCTTTTCTTGTTTACTGCACTGGATTTTATTGATATGAGTTTGTTTCCTGGTGGATGTAGCAGTAGAATTGATTTTTTCCCTCAGGGGACCGTAGTGTGAAAAATACTCCCCATCCAGTGATGCTGAAAGGAAATGATTGTTGGGAATGGGTTTCTGTGTTTTTCTACTAGATGCATGGTCATGAAATTGATGCATAATAATTTGTAGAATCTAATGTTATTTTTACAGCGATGTTGTTTTTGGTCATTAGGGGAAAATCAGTGCTGTCTGTGTCTGATGCAGCTATCATTAGCATTGTTAAATCAAACTGTTTTCTTCTTTTGTTCTGCAGCCTTACGATGTAAACCTGCAGGTGACTGCTGTGCTCTCCAAGTTGTCTTTGTTGCCACACCCACACCTGCATGAATACTTGCTGGACCCTTACATCAGTCTGGCCCCCGGCTGCAGGTCCTTATTCTCCGTCATAGTCCGGGTAAGACGTTCATTGATCGGTGCACCTCTAATCTCAGTCATTAAAAGAGAATATCAGTCTTCCTAAAACAAAAGGTGTTTTCATATTTGGTTTTAAACTTTAATAAAGAATAGATTAACTTAATCATTGTTTTCCTTGTATTTTGGGGCAGCTACCTTGAAATCTTCAGAAGCCTCATTTGTTTGTTAACTGTGAGAAAATTGCTGCTGCTTTAGTTCTGTTCCTAGAACTAAAGTTACTACCTGGAGAACTTTTTCTGGGAATTACTCCGCTTATATATTTACAGGCTTGTTGAAGCAGCTACTTTATTTCACAAACTTTACCCCCCGCTCTACTTTCCATTCATTTCATTTGTATTTTATCCATCAGATTAACACAAGAAAGATTTTTCAAATCTTTTAAAAAAGACAAATCTGAAATTTATTGCATTCAAATAATCTTTAATGATATAGTGGAACAGTCCCCCTCACAGATCACCTAAAACCAAGAACACATAATACTGAATCATTATAGTATAGTAAAACACTGTGGTGGCAGCATTCTCTTTTTTTAGCAGTAACAGAGAAGCTTGTCAGAGGGATTGAGCTGAAAAGAGGAAAAATGCTAGAAAATTAAACCTGTCAAATGTTTTTTTAAAGAATATCAATTAACTTTCAAAAAAGTTAAAAAAAAACACCTTTTTTCCAAGTTTGAAGATGTTTCTCTTCCCATCCAGGAAGCTTTTTCAATTCAAAATGTCAGGAATAGCATTGAGTACCGGTCTACCCCTTGGTAGGGGGTTGGAATGAGTCCCATACCTGTCTATGTCTTTGAAAGGGGCATTGTAGGCTAACAAAAGAAGCCAAACGACCCCATTCCAAGTGGTAGACTCGTTTGTCCGTTTCAATTTGCATGTTTTTTAAAACAAAAACAAGGCTTTGTGGGCTACTGTACGTAGCCTCGAACCCAACGCCGTTCCTGACATTTTGAAAAAGCTTCCTAGATGGGAAGTGAAACGTCTCTAAACTTGGAAACAAAGTCTAGTGGATTGTTTTCTTCACTTTTTTGGAATGACTATGACCTGGATGACTGTGAATCTTCACCAGCAACATCAATGAACAAACAGCAGAGCACCAGGTTTAGGTAGATATGTGCAAAGAAGTTTAACTCTGAAGTGCAATATTGCCATGATGAAACATGGTGGTAGTCGCATCATGCTGGGGGATTCTTCTGCCAGAATACAGACTAACCATGTGTTATTTTCCTTCTCTTTCGCGTGCAGAATTCTAGTGTGACTGAAACCTGTGGGTGTTTTTGTGAACTCTTGTTAGGTGGTTGGCGATCTAATGCTGAGGATTCACCGCATCCCAGATTTCACACCCAAACTGCTGCTGGTGAGGAAGAGATTATTAGGCTTGGAGCCAGAGGGAGTCACGTACGTACCTCCACGCTGCATGAGGTGCCTGTGCTTTAAAGTGACTTTATAAACACACTCACCTCTGTCTGTTCTCACAGGGTGGACCACAGTACGCTGCTGGAAGGGGTCATCGTGTTGGAGGAGTTCTGCAAAGAGCTGGCAGCCATCGCCTTTGTCAAATACCACGCAGCAGCCTCGTCCACGCTGTGATCCTCCCCCTGTTCCACCATCTGCCGCAGTCAGGCGGATGGGCCAGGACCAACCGGGGCCTTCCAGGGTGCCGGGGACATTGCGTTGGCAGAACTTTACCACTAACTGGTTTCACCTGCAAGACTGTTAGGATCCCACATGGACGGGTCCCATCATTCCCCTTCCTCTGACCACTGAGAAGGTGGGAGCGCAGACGGCGCCCCGCTAGCAGAGGAGACAGAAGACAGGGATGGTGATCGAGGTGCAGAAGGCAGCGGACTCTTTTCCACCTCTGTGCAGTTTCTCACTGCCCTCCACCCCCCCACCTGTCTTCTACCTTGGAGTGAGCGTGGAATTTTAATATGGAGGAGTAAATGTGCGTGTTCGTTTCGTCACATTGCCGCCTTGTTTGTAAAAGTCATTGCCTTAATGTGGAGTCAGACCTTTCAGTTACAGCAAAGTGTTGCTCTTTCAAACATCTCATGTTGTCATTTTGAAGACAGCAAAGGTTCCTACGCAGTCTGGAATCCAGTCAGAAACATTTGTATTTCCAGATTCCCTCCTAGTTTCTTCTTTCTGTCCTTTAGTTCCTCATGGACTGAAAATCCTGGAAGATCGATTCCCCCTCCTCATAAACATATCTGTAGTTACATCCACAGTGATGTACTCTACCCATTTTAAAAGCCAAGTCATCGTATTTATTCTTTATTTGCTTGCAGGTTGCCTTTTTTTTAATCGAACGTTTTGATGACGAGTCGGTTTAACGACTGACTGCAGAGACACTGTTGACTTTAATTTGTTTTGATGTCTTTCCTCGGTTTGGCTTTAATGCTCGTTCCTTTTACCGCCACCCAAAGATGTGACCCTCCATCGCAATTTGCACACGGACCTCACTTCGCTGCACTGGTTACAACGTAAAGATAAGGACAAGGCTCTCATTAAGACCAAGTGTTCATCGTTTTACTCATCAGTGTTTATAGTGAGGTTCCCAGTGTGGGGTTACATAGAACATGTACTCAGAAATGACTGTTATCAGTTTAAATTAGGTTTATTTATTGTAATTTTGACTTTAATTCACAGGCTAATATAAAGAAACAGAATGTTCAGCTGTTAAAAGTGGTTTTAGTTTTCTAGTCGTGAAGTTTATACATTTTTTTTGTCTTTTTACTATAAAAACACAATTTCTACCAGATTTTGCAAAGTAAAGTTTGGAGAAACTTATTTCTCCCGACTTTATTGGCCTAATAACTCAGATCCCCCAAATTTGGTCCGAGCTGCTAACACTTTGTAAAGATTGCAGCCGCCTTGTTCATCAACGTCAGCTGTTTCTCTGTTAACCAGGTCAAGTTTGGAGTTCAGCTGCACGTAAGAACCTGTAGATGTTTGATGTAGCGACAGATGGAGGCGTGGGTGAGCGCAGGAATTTTTAGACTTTGTAAACTGATTGGGAAAAAAGAAGCAGAGGGTCGCTCATACTTATCTTATATGCAGATTTAGTTTTTTTAATGGTAGCTGAAATGGACGTGTAAATTTAAAGCCAATTTTATTTGATCCGTTTTTTATATATCTATATATAAAACAGCGCTAAAAAAACGATTATAGAAATCTGGAAATAATGAGAAAATAAATTCGAGTTTGGAATGAAAAAAATAGGAATACTCAACTTAGACTGAGTGTTTAACAAGGAGTTTGTTAAAAGGTTAGTGCAAAAAAAAATAATAATTTGCATTACCTCAATATAAGCACTAGAGGGCGCTCCTTTAGTTTCTAAAAAGATTTCTAAACAACGAAATTGATCTTTCCATTCATTTAAAGTGGAGCCATCTCATCTCAACCAGCTGACCAGCAGTGCACAGTAGATTTAGAGAGCCTTTGCTCCCAGTAATGGTTGCCTCACCAAAAATGCAGATGGTTCAAACAACTAAAAGGACTTCAAAGTAGATTAACTTGATTTGAAAAGTGTAATAACCTATTTCAGCAGGCTGAAAGGCAGTGTGCAGCAGTAAAAGATGGCGCTCTATAGCTGGTAATGTTGACTGTAAATAACAGCAGGCGAGGTCAAAGTATAGAAGCCTGTCTTTTAGCCAGCTGACTGACATTGCACAGAAGAAGGTGAGGAAATGTTTTGGGAGAATAAAAAAAAAAGGCCTGCTCTGATATCGTAACAAAAAAACTTGGAATTGTGGAGAAAAAAATGTAAACAACTTCAGTAAAAACAATTTAAACCTCTGTGGGTCATCATGACTTCCTGTGAGGTGCTGCAGTATTACTTGTTCATCCTTAGCGGTGCTGTCATTTGTTGGAATGGGTTGTTTGTGTGGCCTTTATGTTTGTAATTTATAATCCCGTTTAAAGAAATGCTCCTTAATCTGCTTTTTGTTTTAATTTGATCCCAGATGGGAGGAAATTTGTTTGTTATTGTGATGCTGAGGAGAATGAACAGTATTATTCACCGAAGCCATGAGTATCTCCTCTGTAGTCTTTATTTTTGCTTCTTTCTCTAAAATCATCACTCTTGCACCTAAGCTACATTATGCAAACTGCTTGCATGAATTCAGATTTTGCACATTGCCGTAATTCTAGTTTTTTTTTTTTACATGAACCAAAACAGATGGGTAGGGGAAAAAAGCTGGTGTGTCCCTGGTGTAACATTTCTATTTAAATGTTGAACCTTTTCTTTTTAATTGTTAATCATGCACATTTTTTATCAACTGTTTTCCTATTTCTGGTGTACATTTGTATATTGTATGTGTACAATAGCGTTAGATATACTACCTGGTGAAAATGCATGCTTGAAGCAATTATTTTTCAGCGTATGGAGAGAGAAAAGGGACAGTCCAGCCAAGTTTGCTCTGAGCCGTCAGCACTTTGGTTTGGGAGGAAGCTGGTAGGAAAAGAAGATGCCTTATTAAACACTGTGGATTATTGTGACTCTGCTACAAGCGCATCTTTATAAATAAAATATCTTAAAGTTGTAATTGAGTTCAAAAATTAACTCACTTTCAGACGGTGACTTGGATCCTAAACGATTGATTGTAGCCAATCACCTGTCGGTACCGAACACAAATGCATTCCTAAGCTCCAAAAAAACTCGAATGGGCTTTAGCCTGACTGTCCTCCAAGGCTGCAGTTACCTTTTAGTTTTTTACCGCACGTAATCCTACTAACCTTAAGATTGAATACAACCAGCTTCCAATAGCCTGTTTTTATCAGGGTACCCACTACTGCTGGATACCGTCAGGTCAGCCTTCTTTCCATAGCTGCACATAATGCTACACTCCTTTATAAAATCCTTTAGTGTCAAAAGTATTTTTACTTTAATATAATTTAAATGTCATGAATATTGCCACTGACACACCTTTAAACGCATCTGTGCCACTTTTTCCTTCCACTAAATTTTTCATCAATTTACATACGGTAATTATCTTATGTATATTTAAATTTTCTAAAAGAATGTTTTAAATTCTATTCACAATGAAGAAATAACTTTCCCCTTTTGAACAGAGTTATTTAAATGCATCAATTTTCCAAATTGACCAAGATGCTCCTGTAGGCTTTACGGATGTATGAAGATGAATAGGATTCATTATAATCAGATCTGCTATTGATCACTGCATCGTCATATCTTTAACTCATGGCTAGTTATTTTGGACATTAAGGTATTTTCTCCTACTGTATCACTTCATTTAAGCATCAGCTGCTGTTATACCTTTTTCGGGGTTGGTAAAAAAGAACAGAATGGTTTTAGTTATACTCTGTTTCCCACAATAAAATAAAATGTCCAACTCTCAGCAGATGTGATCGGTTGCGTTTCATCTTTTTTTTATTACAAAATGTCTGTACAATACCACAAAAATACACAATTTCTTTCAACAAGGTGTAAAACACAAGCTCTGTTCAATCTTTGAAAAATAAACATTTCCTAATGAGTACCAGAGTAAAGACGTGAAAGTAACTTGTAGCGTTCCTCTGCTAACGGACAGCAGGACGGGATGATTATTTCCTCTTTCAAGTCTCGTCCTCCCACCAGTTCTGGAGAAATGGCTAATCTCATGTTCAGATGAAGTTTACAGGGCCACAGGTCCAAAGCCACATCAGAGAAATATCCTACGCTTCTATAGCCTTGCATTGCTTTCAAAATCTGCCTTCTGATTTTAGGCACTACGGTGCAGAAAGAAAACCATAGTCTGGTTTTTCAACTCAGATCGACTCAGTTAAGGTTTTACAATTCTTTAACATTTTAAAGCCCCTCATGACATAATCCCTAATAATCTGATCATTGTCCTCACATAGAAAACCATCTTTTTAACCAACTTGATACTTAAACACCTGGATATGGATGAGGGAAACTGGAGTAGCATTTGGAAATAAATCAGCACGCTCTGAACGAGTTGCATTTATATAACCATGGTAATGATCAGCAGAAAGCCTTAAACTGTTTTAATTGCAGCATGAAAAGTATAGAAAATTTCCAAAGGGAGTTATGCCTTTAGGACTAAATGACTTCAGGGAAGCATTTATCAATGATCTGATCAATAAGAACAGCAAATCAAATGGAACCGATTCAAATGAGGAAGGATGAGGATCTGTGTTCAGCTCAGCCACAGAGTCAGAGAAAGGATAAAAAATAAACTCCACTTTGGGTTCAGTGTTGCAGCAAAGAGTCTAATTTTAGTGTCACCATTTCCTCCAATTAATCCCAGGAAACAGCTGAGGGGGGGGTTTCATAAAACTCACTCAGAAAAGCCAGACATGGAAACCAAACTCTGACTCAGCGAAGGTAAAATGTGTCACGTCATGATTACTTGGTTTCGGGAAAAGGACGCCTCGTTTGCTTAATGTCACTGATATGAGACAGGTTTAACTTATCAGTGTTGCAGCACACATAAGCAGACCGAGCTGATCACGGAGTTCAATGAGAAATCACGGCGATACGTTACACTGAATCAGGAGTTCAGACATTTAAATTGAAAAATAAAAAATTAGGGAAAGGCGATGGCAGGCAATCGCTTATATATTAAATACGTAAATTGTCACTTATTCTACACATTATTTCAAGACACATCCAAATTAAATCTGGTATGTAAACATTTCACTTAAGTGTAAGCCTATAGTTTTTTTTTTCCTTTTTTTTCCCTTTCCCTATAGTGTTTTTTTAATCAAATACTTCGTTTTCAGTCCCATGAACTGCAGCCAGTAAAGACTCATTTCAGTCTGTGAAATTAACATTTTCTACATGTAACTCTTTCAGTAAAACTAGTGGCGACATACGCACCTGGAAACAGGTGAGAAAGTACAAAAAACTCAACTCTGATCGTTATTTTGACAAGGCAACAAAAAGATTTAGGCACTAGAAATCTGGGCTATTTATTCACATTGTAGCCAACAACAAAAAAAAGTGAGACTTTGGGAGGACCACCATCAATGTATTTTACCCTACCACAAAGGAAAGGCAGGCCTATGCAGAGAAAATAAGGGCTTGATTTAAGCTCTGTACCAGTTAAGGTGGTAAATTAAAAATGAATAATGTAGAAACAGGGTGCTGCCCCCTCCTTTACGACCTCCTCCACAGTCTCTGACGCATCCTGGGTGAGGATGCCTTTTCTGGGTTAGGCAAACATCTTTAAACAAGGTGGGGAAAAAAAAAATTCAGATATTGCCTTTATACCTTCTATATTTGTGTATACATTTACTTACATTTACAAAAGCTCATAACTTGTAGCCATTTTTGATGACATCATGCATTAAGGCCAAATGATAATACTCAAATAGTGCTGGATTCAGAGTTTAAATTTAGTCAGCTCTGAACCTGTTCAAGCTGAGTTTACTGGGTCAGTTGCCGTAGTAACCAAGTCAACAAGTTAGTCAGCTTTATGAAACACAAACAACAAGCCAGAATAAGCCTGACTTAGTAACTCAGCCAGTTTTATGAAACACCCCTTCAGGTTTTCAAATCAAAAATATCGAAGAGCAGTTTGATGAATTTTATTGGACATTAAAGAAACCGTGTGCTTTGCTCTGAGAAAAAACAAAACAAAAAAACACAGCATGCCTGCTGTTAAGTACAGTGGAGGATTGGTCATGCTATGGGCCCAGTGGCCCATGGGGGACATTAAAACATTTGTCCAAATCTATCATTTTAAGGCAGGATTTTTCAAAAATTTCATGCTGCAGCAATAAAATACTTTAAGGCTTTTTACAGATTTTTAACAAATGATGTACGTCTTTTTACAAACCAAACAAAAATTTAGGTGGCAAAGGATTGTATCCGATTGTCAAAGTCGAACATTTCCAGACAAGGGCACAGTACTGAAATCTTCTCTACCAAAGTAAAAAATATATTAGCAGTCAAATATAAGTGTTATACCTTCACTGACAAAGTTACATGATTTGAAAAACTTCAACTCAAAATGTGAAAAAAAAAAATAATAATGCACAGAAAATCATAGATACCAGCGCTCTGTCTCCATCTTATAGTGACGGATGATGCATTAAATTATTTTACATGTCCATGTAAATAATTCAGTTTCTCTATGCAAGTCTTTTCATGTACATATAAAACATACCACGTAAAAAAAGAAGAAAAATAAAACATGCTGTAGCACAAACTGAACCGAGCTAAAAATACAACTTTGTTATTTTGTTTTTAAAAACTATTTACATTTCCAAATGTTTTTTTATTTTTTATTATTTTGTTTAGTTTTAAGGCAGGAAGAGACTTCCTGTCCCGTTTACAAAACCCCAGATGTGTGTACACACAGGCACATGCTTGTGCACGGATGGCTCACACAGGAACATTCAGACAAACAAATGTCTCTTTGGCTGGTGTGAAGCTGGTGGCACGTCGCAGTCTCTGTGTGTAAATACATTTTGTCAAACTGAAACAAAACTCACACAAAAAAAAAACACACCATCTAACAGCGTAGAAAATAGGCTCCAATTATAATATAGTGATTTATCTCATATGTATTTGCAAATATATATATATTTATATACCAAAAAAACAAAACTTACTTCATATTAAGGGCCTGCCACACATATGCCCTTCATCGTGTTTATATACTGATAAATCACATTCAGAAGAGTGATGGTAATTTAATAGGAAGGCATCAATAAATAGAGATGTGTGTGTGTGTGTGTGTGTGTGTGTGTGTGTCCCTGGGTCTGCCATATTAAACAGCTCCAGCCGTCTGTCAGTCTCCCTTCGAGCTTTGTGCTGTATCCAAATTAACCACCTGGAGCTCCGTCAGGTTACTGCTGCTGCCGCTCGACTGCTGTCCAATCACCATCTGCAGGGGACAAAAAAAAAAAAAAAAATGGAAATGTCAGGAGGGAGAGCAGATTGGAGAGCCAATCACAGGTCACGGCGTCACACGCCAGCCAGCGCAGATGGAGATCCTGCAGCTAATCCACAGACTGCTGCAAAGCAACGGATGCTGAAGCTTTTAACCCCACAGTAACGTTTCTCTGTGTTCACAAGATTTACCAATGAATTATCAATTCATTGGTAAATCTAATAATAAGCTTTATACTTAGCAATTAGGTCAAACTACTTTAGACATGCACTGCTATGAGGTGTCACAGGCGCATGCCCATAAATTAGAATAATATCAAAAAGTTCATCTACTAAAAAAGTTCTTATTCATACATTAAACTGATTTTTATGCTCTGCCTTACAGTCCGTCCAAACTCTCCTGATAAAATCTGTACATCGATATTTAAAAAGACGACTTCCTACAGAAATGTCCGTTTTCCTTCCACTAAACTTTCCAATACTTTTTTTTTTTTTTTGCCAAAAACACCATAAGAGATGTCATACAATTTTTTTGGGCTTGAAAGATTTAAATATAAAGGGAAAGAATATTCCACACTATTATAACAATTTCCCATATTTCCTGAATCAGAAAAATGTGTTTTATCTATATGTATTTTTCAATGTATCTATTAAGTAATTGGATGAATGTAGGCAAGCCAAAGCTTTAATCCATTTTTTTTTTATTCCTCCTGTGTGTGGCTTTTTTCTGTAAAGACAGATAAAATATGCTTAATTAAAATAGTAACACACTTATTTGGTTGAACCAAAGGCTTACATGTCTGAGGTGTATATTTATATTAATATGACAGGCAATTTTTTGTTCATATTAAATAAGATTTAAAATAAAAAAGATATACAATACAGAAATGTTGTTGAAATAGTTTTAGTCCACTATAAGTCTTCCTTCCACTAAATGTTCTGTTAATGTGCTCAAATTTTAAAATGTACATTATAGAGCTGGGCGATATGGCGATATATATCGTGAGGACGAGAGAAACATGTCTATCGTGACCTTTCTCCTCTATTTTTTCTATCGTGATAAACTTTTTTATTATTATTATTACTGCTAATATACATTTTAATATAATTTGTTAATATAACATTTTGCGTTTTTGCTATGCAAACTCTAAGTGTATATAACGAAAAAAAAAGAGAATAAAAAGATAATGTGTAGAGAACGTGGTTTTGCGACACTACACCGCTTTACGTCACGCGGCTTTGCACCATACGTTTGCGACATTACTGACGGAGAGAGACCGCGAAATTTCTTTCTGGCGTGAAGAAAAATGAATGATGGACACCCAAGAAGATGTTACCACAGCAGCGGTTACAGAGTCCGAAACGGTTGCCAGGTCACAGACACAACAAACACCACTTTTGCCCAAAAGGGGAGGCAGCTCGGTTGTTTGGTTATATTTCGGATTTCAGCCATCTGATAAAGAACAAACGCAGCCGATATGTAAACTGTGCAGCAAAGCCGTTCCAGCGGCTGATGCAAATACTTCCGGCCTCTTTTACCACCTGAAGAAAAATCATGAACAAGAACACGGGAAACTACAACCACTCCGATCAAAACAAACAAGGGATGAAAATACAGGAAGCAATGGAAAGAAATTCTCACAGCCGAAGCTTAAGGAAGCATTCGCCCAAGGATCACAATATGAGAAGACGTCTCAGCGACACAAGCAGATCACAGGTGCTATTTCACGCTATATCTGTAAAGGCATGGCCCCCGTTTACATAGTCGAGAAAGACAGCTTTCGGGACCTCGTCCGTACACTCGATCCCAGATAGAAAACAAGGTAAGTGAAAGACAAGAGAAAAACCTGGCCTTGGAATTTTATAAAATGTCAATAACAAACAAATATGAAATGATTAATTACTGCAGCGCAATAGCCAAGATTCTATACTGTTCACTGTCATGGCCGCAAATTGCATAACTGGTGTTCTTGGTTTGGGGTTGGGATTCTCATATTAGGAAACAAGATGATGGGTAAAAAATAGGCGATGAAAGATTTTTTTCAACCCTGTCCATCTGACGGACTATGAAAACATAAAATGCAACATCAGTAGTGGTATATCGTGATATATATCGTTATCGTGATATAAAATAATCCATATCGTGATATAGTTTTTTTTCCATATCGCCCAGCCCTAGTACATTATACTTTAATTGTAGGTTCTTGAAATTGAAGAGCATTAAATATATCTTTTGAGGCTGTCTTGTTTGGAGGGAAACTAAAACAGCAGTCTAATGAAAGATGGGGCTTTGTTAGCTCTTTATTTCAGCTCTGCAGGAGTTGAGCCCAGTCTCTTTATTAGTTTCACAGCTTTAATGCGGCAAATAAATATCAAAATGTATGAATTTGGGACATTTGTTCCCCATCGTGCCTGCTGATGAAAATTAGCGCTTTCTTCTTTGATTTCCAACTTTGACCCCGCCCGCCGATGGTTGAAGAGAAATCCACAGAAACACTGCACCATAACATAAAGCAGCATGGTTCAAAGTGTGGTAAAAAAGTAGCAACTCATAGTCTGAAAAATACAGTAATTATTTCCTGAAACATTTATCTGGTTTAAAGGTAAATTAATCTCTTTTAATTTTGTCAAGTTGGATTAAATTTAGAAAACTGTATTTGATGCACTTTTCTTGTTTTATTAGGCGTTTCCAGCATCAACTAAAAAAATACGAAAGCGGTCATGTCCTTTAGATATTTTTTCACTGGTTTTCTCGCAAAAACAAGTTCTTTTTCTCATTATCTAAAGATAACGAAAGCCGTTTTCTCGAGATAACGAGATGATGGTGTGTGTTAAAACTGATTACATCCTTCAATACCAGAACAGCAGGAGAGGATTTATAAGTCATAGCAGTTTATGTGTAATTCTTTAAATAATCCTGTGTTTAACTTTCAGGTAATGAGACAACGTTGTTGGTTTGATGATTTGCTTCCACTTCATAAGCATTTAGACCTATGCCTCCAGCGCCGTAGAGCCAGGTGTTTTCTGAAGAGCCCCGGTGTTACGCCTGTAACAGGTATAAAGATGCATTAAGCCCCAAAATAAGTCCAGATGAAAGATTTTCATAAAAAAAAAAAGTCAGATTTGTTTCTACTGTATTCCATGCAATCAAATCATCCACCGCGACCTGACAATGAATGAAAAGAAATAGGAAACTAAAAAACTGATTTGTGCACACGCAGTACCGCGACTGAACAACTACAGGCACCACAGGCATGGATGGACTGGGAATCCTGGGCTGTTGGCCGGCCTCAATCAGGTTAATCATCTCGTTATCTCAAGAAAACAATTAATTGTTTAACTGTGATAATTAGATAGTTTTGTCATTATTTTAAGAAGGTAAAGGGAAAAAAAAGTCAAGTATGATCGCTCTCGGCTTCCGTAACAAAGAAATAAAGTCCTGCTCTAATGTGGGTTCATTATTCAGTGGGGTCTAAGGGGGATGTTTTTAACGTACAAAAAGGCAGTCATTTTAATGCACTGAATAAAGCTTTTTATTTCTTATTCCTTTTTTTATTGCTGCTTTAGTTTGGGGTTGTAACATTACACACACAGGGATATATTTTAAGCTGTTTATCTTAATTCTGATTATTGTGGCTTAGTTTAAACCTAGAAACCTCTAATTTTCTTTAAAAAAAATGTAATTACATAACAGAAAAAGTGTTTGTTAAAAAATTAAGAAATGTTACATTCTACTAATTGTCTTTTCCCACCTTTCCTCCTTCCACTAAACTTTCAGATAAATTGCTTGGACTTCGAAAAATGACCAGGGAAGTTATATAGCTATTTTCACAGATACATGGAAATATTTTTATTTTTAAATCGACTGAATCTCTGGGTTTTTTTTCTATGATACAATCATATGAATCAAAACGATTAATACTTGAAATACATCAAGATTATTTAAACAATTCAACCTGTTGATAGTATTCTATTTTACCAGGATGCACCTGCATATTAGGGCTAATGCGTGAAAAAAATCAACAAGATGCCAGCTGACCACTCCACATTCATAGAAATAAAAAAGGACCAACAGGGGGTGACCCTGCCGCCTGTGTGCCAGTGCTGTTAAGATGCATCAGTGACGTCAAGGTGGCATGCTGGTTGCATAGGGAATATGAGAGTTTCACTTGTGAAATGCAGATCTTGCCGTACTGGGTGTAGCTGCACTGCTGAGACAGGGATCTGCACCGTGCCCGGAGGTGCTGTGAGGAACACCTGAGGGACAGCACCTGGGAGGAGAAAAGAAACAGGGTTTTCTCATCTCCAAGTCCCGGTAAGTCAGTTAAAACGACGTGGATCGTTTCTCACCTGAGTCTTGGCTGTGCGCGTGGGACACCTGCATGGCCGAGGTTCCCTGGGAGAAGGCGTTGAGCACGGCCAGCCCTCCGTCGGCCAGCGTCGGCGTGGAAGCGTACATCACTGTGTGAGGGCTGGGGTACATCATGTGACCCGGTACAGACGTTGGCACGGACGAAGTGACAATGGTTGCCGGGAGACTCACCGTTGCTGTGGGAGATACAGAGACTCTAAAGGCATGAGGGGTGTGCACATGTAGGCCAGCAGATGGCGCATGGATCTTAAATTCAACTTCCTAGTCAGTACTGTTCCCATTTCCACTTCTTAAGATTTGCCAGTACCTTTTTAAAGTATTCATACCCCCTTAGCATCCACATTTTTTCACATCACAAGCTAAAAAGTGTTATAATTGTGACAGACCAACAAAGATCTGAAAATTGTACTTTTGCATTTAGTATTCCTTTCACTCCTAAATGAAATCCAGTGCAAATAGAGGCTACATGTTTGCCATTCAATCTCAGCATGATTCCACCTGTTCTGTAAAAGTTTGAAAGGTTAGTTAGAAAACATTATGAAGACTGAGAAATGGAGCAGAGTTAGATTAGAGAACAAGATTCCAAGCTTTAAACGTCTCAAGCAGCACCAAATATCTGAGTATGGAGTAGGGCAGAGACATGCCGAACAAGGAGAGCATGACTCAAAGAATCAGACATGGGGCTGATTGTAACTGGAGGAGCTGCAGAGCTCACAGCTCAGGTGGGATCATCTGTAAACAGGAAGCTTGACTGGAGATTTGAGACCCATCAGATCTTCTTAGTTTGGTGGGAACCTAACGCTGCACAGTGGGTGTGAGACATGGAGCTGGCAGCGACTCAGATCCCACCAGGATTGCATCACCCCACTATAGTAGTGAACTGTTCAAGTAGAACAATAAATCAGCGTATATGGATTTTAAACCAGTTTTACCAGAGTTTCCCAGACCTGCTCTTTATTTAACCACTAAAGTTTTTTTCTTCCATCATGAGTAAGTGAGTGAGTTCATTTACTTTGTTTATTTTTTTGCTGTTATTCTTTCAACTATATGGTCCTATTTATTAGGGCTGTTAATTACCAGTATGGACATTTTCTTATTACATAAAAGTCCAGGGAATAAGATCCACAGTCTGCACATTGTAGTCTTTTACTCATAAACCCAACCTGATCCACTTTGCCTTTCATCAACCGACTTCCTACCCAAATCATCTGCTCTGCTCCAGATCAACGTGGAATCCAAGCTGCAGAAATAGAACAGCCGCCTATTTTAGAGAGGCTGCCGGTGCTTCTGAGATGCTTCAGAAACAGACCGCGTCGCTTTCAGTGGAACCAAACTGACTCCAGTTGCTGCTGTGTCCAAAGATTATTTTGCAAATTGATTAATCTGTTGACTATTTTTCTGATTAAGCGATTAATAATCGGATAGCTAAAAAGCCTTTAAAGACTTTTTGCAAAATGAAACCAAATTAAACAGGTGAAACTAAAAGTTTTCCATTTGAGGAGTTCTGGATGGAGCATATTAACAGAAATTATTATATTTTATCTTAAATGCTAAAATGTTGATATATTTTTTACAATCTTGGTATAGTTACTGCTCTGTAACTGTACAGCTCTGTCAGCTAAAGGCATGTTTTACAGTCTCTATACTCCTATTACTAAATTAGTTAGTAATTTTTTCAATAAACAATCACAATTAATGCAACAAGGCTGAATATTTCAGCTCTTCATTCAGCCTGTCTGAGCTTTAATTATTTTGCATTAAAAAAATTTCAATAAAGCACCTAAAAAAAGCAATAAAATAACATGAGAAAATGTGAAAATGCTCAGGACGTATAAATACTTTTGCAAGACGTTGCATACATTTGGTTCCCTCCTAGTTGACATCAACGCTCCCAAAAGTCACTGAACGCGAGTAAGACCTACCGGTGGAGTTGGTGGAGGTGTGAGAGATCTCAGGGCTGCTGTCGCTGGTGGAGGTGGGCTGTGTGTTGGGATGGACCTGGATGGCCTGGAGCTGCTGAGGAACCCCTGCTCCTGTAGATACACACAAACGGCATGAAGCCACTGCAACATCTGGAATGGATCCGACCCAGGAGGGAACAGCAGCTAAGAACTAGTTCACATCAGTACCATTAGCAGCGTTAGAGAAAGTCCTCGTGCACGTGGATTGGGTAACTCTAGCATTAGATGACTGAACATTAGCAGATGAAGTAGGGATAGCAGTGTGCAAGCAGCAGCTTTATGAAGGAATGATAGTGATAAGCAGAGGCAGGCGCTGTGGCAGCATGCAGAGCAGATCACCTGTGAGGGAGACAGCAGCAGGGAAGCGGAGGACAGCCTGCTGTCCCTGCTGTGGCTTCGGGGTGGCGGCCAGGGTCTGACCATGCTGCCCCTGGAGGGCCAGAAAGTGCTGCTGTAGCTGGCTCAGAGGAATGGTGGGGGTGCTGGGGGGGAGAGGAGTGCCTGCTGCAGGGGCACGCACACAAATACACATGGGTTAAAAACTATAGTTCTTTAAAAACAAGAAATCCTGTTTCACTGTTCTGAAACACAAAAGTGCCTTAAAGTGCACAGAGATACTCTTAAAAATAAAGCAATATGACCCCCCCCACCAGCAGGCTGGGAAGTTAAAGCTGGAAAAGCACCTTAAACTCCAACTTATCTTTACCCCGTAACTAACCCTCTATTACTGTATCTGCCAAAGCAACAAATGGTTAACACCAGGCTGTTGGCTGCAAACCCAAATCATCCAGGACTGACAGGAAGTGAGGAGTAAATGGGATCATTTATTTGGATGAATGAATGGCAACCAACCTACAACAATAAGAGTATTCTTAAGAGCTGCTGCCAGTGTAGCTGTCATTTTATACAGGTTTCTCCCTAGTTTTATTTCTATTTTAATGGATGGAGTTGTTTTATAATGGGAGAATATATATTTTTTAATGATAATGTGGTTGGTTTATCTTTCCCTCATTCTATTTTGAAAGCAAAAATAAGTACTTATTAAGCCTAAAGATGGTAAAATAAATATTCAGTATGATGTTTCAAAGTTAAACGATTTGCTTCTCTAATGAAAATGGCTCCATCTTCCTTTAGAAAAGGTGACCTACTAAGATATTTATCAGATGAACTGCAGTTTTAATTAAAAATCACCAAACAGCTTTTTCAAAAAGGTTAAAAGATTTGTCCAACACCCAAGTTTAAGATCCTGAGCTGTAAAGGTTTACTTTGCTTGCAAAGAGCAACCAGTCACACCAACTGTGGATGAGAAGAACAGCCTGAAACTCCTCTGACTCAGGCTTGTTGTCCTTTTAAACAAATCTGTCCTCCCCCTCCGCTCCCTGCCTCTTAGTGGCCTTCAAAAGGTTTCTGGCAGAGGGAAAAGATTGAGAGAGAAAAATCCCAGAGATGCACAGAACAGGATAAAATAACAAATGACTAATCAAGATCTGAACAGCAATTCTTGTTTTTCAACAAATCAGATTCGTTTGAAACATTTCTGCAGCATTTTCTGAGAAGGTAAAGAGCACAGGATTCTGAAGTGGTTCTCTCCACATTTGGTTTTATGCTCCATATGCAGTTGCTGCAGCAGGGTGGGCAGGCCCTTTTCAAGCTGTCAACTGTGGTGCGCTGAGCATGTGTGTGTGTTGCTCCACCTGGCACTGCTGCCATGTGCCAGACAGGTGGTGAAGGAGAGAGAGGAAGCAGGCAGCAAGCAAGAGAGCAGAGGGACGAGGTTGCAAAGGGAGAGAAAGCCAGCAAATGAAAACTAAAAAAAAACAGGGACACAAATCTGAGCAGAGGGTGCAGAGACGAGTGCTTTGTGTCGTTCCCCCATCAGTCAGAATTATCCATTATAGAGCAACAGGTTTCTGTCCATGACAGGAACAGATAACCAGCATAACGAAAACCCTCCGGAGCATCGTACCATCACCACAGAAGAACCTTTTAAAATCATGAGAACATTCGTTTTTAAGTAAAAGTAGACATTCTGCACTTTACTCCGCTATATTTCATTCACGTTTCTCATCAGATTTCACTTGTTTCTTTGACATAGATTCTAATTTTTACAAAAGAAACTAGAATTAAACCACCAGCTTAAAGGAATAGTACACCCAAAACATGATTAGCCTTCATTTTCTACTCACCCCCATGCTGAACAACACTCTGGAGTACTTTTTTGATATCTCAAATGCATCTGGAGATCTGGGAGGCTTCTTGCTGTCTGCTGACATTCAAATAATGGAGGTCTATGGTGACCGAGACAGAAAGGTCCATAAAAGTCCACAAAAAACGTGTCAATATTCCTCCATACTGCTCGTCCAATGTATTCCAAGTGTCCTGAGTGGGTAGCATCCAGAATTTACTCGAAACGAAGTCATTTAGAATGTTTTTAGAGCATAAACAGTAGTGTATAGGATTTCCTGAAAGCGCGGACACGCGCGCTCACGACGCTACGGAAGCCGGCAGATCAAACCAGATGAAAGTGCGCATTCAGTGTCTGCTCTTCCAATAATGCAAGCGTAGAAGAAGAAATGTGCTGTTTACCTGTGCAAAGAAAGAAACAACGAAAGAAAAATATCTGAGGACTTCAGTGTTGAGGAAGAGCATGAGTTCTTTGCCGAGCTGAATGCGCTGGTTTGGTCTGCCGGCTTCCGTAGCGTCGTGAGCGCGCGTGTGTGCGCTTTCAGGAAATCCTATACACTACTGTTTATGCTCTAAAAACATTCTAAATGACTTCGTTTCGAGTAAATTCTGGATGCTACCCACTCAGGACACTTGGAATACATTGGACGAGCAGTATGGAGGAATATTGACACGTTTTTTGTGGACTTTTATGGACCTTTCTGTCTCGGTCACCATAGACCTCCATTATTTGAATGTCAGCAGACAGCAAGAAGCCTCCCAGATCTCCAGATGCATTTGAGATATCAAAAAAGTACTCCAGAGTGTTGTTCAGCATGGGGGTGAGTAGAAAATGAAGGCTAATCATGTTTTGGGTGTACTATTCCTTTAAACTAGATTTTATTTCATACTTGTGGCATAAAAGAACACCTCATAATAAATGATCCAAATATGCTTAAAATATACATTTTCTCCAAAATAGCACCGGGTTAAAACTTTTAGCGTATCTACACATCCACTTCAATTTGTTGTTGCACAATTAACTGTGTTGTTATTTAGAAATTCAATATCCTAAATTTTTTTATGTGAACTGAACTGTGGCTTAAAAAACAATAATAAATAAAATTCACTAGTATTTGTTTCTCTTCTTTGTAAATTAAAGATCCAACAATTTCAGATCAAAAGTCAGAGAATTTTAATCCCTGGAATTATTTTAATCCTTGGTTAAAGGAATCCCATGTATTTTGTGCGCTTCCTGTTCTACTACGCTAACAAACCCTGGTATCTATCCAACTATGGCTGCGATCACACTGCAGGACTTGATGCTAAATTACGATTTTTTTGCCGTTCACATCTCCAAATATATGCGACTTATATGTGATCTCCTGTGTGAAATGCATTCATACAAGGCAAGTGTCCCACATGCGCAGTAGAGGACACAATGACATCACAAGCCATCTGTGTTTATGGAAGTAAACATGGATGGTAGAGCTGGAGCGCATCTAGCAATCTTTCCCAAACATAAAACACAATCTTTTCAGGATGGTTAAACATAAATACAGCTCTCTGCATCATCGTTCGCCATGTTTTTAGTTTTTCTTGCTGCTTCTTCATAGAAAGACCCAGAATAGAGACCGTTGTTGGGTATTAATGGGTTCAGACCGGATGAATGTGACCTGGCTGTTCAGACACAGGTCGCATTTGAAAAGATCAGATTCGTATCGGATTCAGGACCACATGGCCAAGTGGCCTGGGTCGCATTGGAAAAAAATCGGACCTGTGTTGTGCAGACAGCTATGAAAAGATCAGATCCAGGTCGCATATGGGCCAAAAAATTGGATTTGGGTCACTTCAGGCTGCAGTGTGAATGTAGCCTATTGGATTCAGCCTGATGACATATGGGCAAGTAGTCAAAACGGCACTACACCCCCACTCCAACAGATGGCAGTAATTAAAAACAAAGATAACAAAAAAAGAGCCTGTATCCTGCAGTCCTTTCACAAAGCAAGACAGAGAACAAGGGATTGCCCTCTCCCTTTTGACTAATCCCCACCATAAAAAGTCAACTTTAGTATTATTTAAGATAAAGAAGAAACCTTCAGCCCCATGCAGGTCAGAAGACTGCAAGAAAGGGTTAACCAGTCAGCCAACCAACCCCAGAGGAATCTGAAACTCCTAGCCCCAGACTAATTTCATCTAGAAAAGTTTGAAAGCAGGGAATTTGCATAACTTTATCTAGTGAGTCTCTGTGACCTCCTGCTAGTCACTATATGTAAACTGGTCCTAAAAAGGAAGAGAAAAGAAAAAACATTGGAGTGACCATTTAGGATCTAGGGATTTCCAAACCAGAAAATGTCTCATAGACTTGATGAGGTACAGAGTTGGTGTCCCTGTAATAAAAAGGTCATATCTAGTTCAGGAACAGTAAAGATCTGACCCTGGCATGTCTTAATTATTATTTCAACACAGGCCACAGATACTCAACTGAATATTCATGGTTAATTATGTGCCTTGCTCATCAGCCCACTTTACCAGGTCTTTTGTGTCCCTCTCGCATATTTATTCATGTCCCCATCTGACTATCAAAGGTAGGGCCCATCGCCAAAAGACGACGCGTTTCCCTTGGATACAGCAGGCTTTGTAAAACCTGAGTGTCTGTGGCTCAGTATAAAGAGCCGCAGCGTGATGTGAACAGCTGAGAGGGAGGGAGGCGTGACCAGCTCAGGATGATGGCCATCACGCTGCAGTGCCGTTCAGATTCTAATCAGCTAATAAGCACCACTGCGCAATGACATTAACCAAACATGGAGGGAGAGGACGAGGGCAAGACATGAAAGGGTTTGAATGCTGACGACGTGACGCTTAAACCTACCGGGCATGAAGGTGAAGCCGCTGGGAAGCTGCATGACGCCCGCGGAGCCCCCAGCCGTCTTTAGGACCGTCCCATTGGCGCTGATGTTGCTGCTGCTCGAGACGGGGGCCAGGTAGTTGGTGATGGGAAATGAAGCCCCGGTGCTCACCTGCATGGTGGTGGAGGTGGTGGGTACGGTGGACTGGGCGCTGCTCGTAGCACCGGGTAGATTGGCAACAGTGAATGTTGGCTTCAGTGTGTCCTGCAAGGAGACAAATAAACAACTAAATATAAGAACAAGCTGATAGATTTCAGCTGAAACTGACATCAGTCCAGAAAGGTGAGGCGGTTATTTTATAACCTGACTCCGCCAGATGGATTTGCTCCACATATCCATCTGGAAACCTTCCGTTGAAGTAATTTTGGGAAGGGGCGAAAATACTGGTTAGCTGATTGGCCTATGTTAGTGATAGACGGGTCAAATAAACCAATCAGATCAAAAGAAGCATATGACTTAACAGAGCGACGACGAAGAGGAGCCAATTGATAAATCAAACTCTTGCCGAAATCAGTCGGGAGAAGAGCAAAAACATCTTTTCCTCTGAGAAAAGCCTCCAGAGCAGTGTTTTGCTCTTCTTTCAGTGAAGAAAAACTCTGTAATTCTGCTGTAATTCTGATAAAACTTGCTCGATAGCCACGCTAACGCTAGTTTCATCGGCTGAAGCCGCCATGTTCTTTAGACTGAACTGTCGCGCTTCTTGTTGTGTCACACCTCAACCCGCCTCAAAGCCAACGCTGATTGGACGTTCGTTTGGTGAACGGCTCCAAATTTTCTTCAAGGAGAGTCTCCAGACTGATTAGCGAGTGAAATCTTGAAAGCTCGCGAGATCAGGATGGTCTCATGAGGCTAGTTATTTGCATGTCCTACAAATTGGAAGTATAAACCAATGTGAAATAAACCAACACGCATCAGATAGGCACATGTTATAAAATGGTTATTTAAAGCTGCAAAAAGGATAAAATAGGACATGAAATGCAAAAGTCACATACAAAGAGTGTCAGTCGACACAACCTGGTTACCAACAACTGAACAAGAAGTGATCGTAGTTTGTCAGACAGGGAAACTCCTTAGCTCCTCCCACTTTTCTTCAGACAAAACCAGGATTTTAAATCATAATTCATTCCTGAACATTTTAGACGCAGAAAAAACTGACAAAATAATGTAAAAGTTGCCTTCATGAGCCAGATCTATGTGACCGAAGCTTCTTATGCAGGGAGGGAAATGCAAGCTAATCTTAAAATTTGTCATTATCCCGCTCAAGGGTTAAATTTTAATCTAGATTTATGCTGCAAGCGAGATTTAGTCCTTAATTAGTAAACAAAAAGATTTTGCACAGGTGTGTCATGTCACATTTATAGTCTTAATAAATAAACTATTTTAAAGGAAAATGTTCCTATTGATAAACATTCTAGAATTGGACAGAGCTATTGCTTTTTATTTCCACAATTAGTGAAAAGTTTTACGACGGCTTTTTCATACCACAGAAAAGGTCAATTTGAACTAATCACAAAATGGTAAGGAGGCTAAATGAGTCTCATATGCTGAAGAATTTAATGATTTGTTTTTTAAAAAGGTCACAGCTCTCCTTTGATGGCCATGAATCTCCATAACTCTAAGAACAAAAGGAACCTGAAGGGATCATCTAACAACCTCTTAAAAACAAACAAAGACATAAATCTTTAGTTCAATCCTCTCTGTATATTACTCCCACCACTTATACTTTATGATTTTACAGAAATGGCTCCTTATGCATCTTTAATTTCAAGTTTTGAGCCAATTACCATTAGATCAACCACAGAAACAGTTTCCAAAGTTTCATCAACCTTTAATTCATATAGTTTTGGTCTTTTGGGGCAAAAACTTTGTTTTATGCAAACACACAGCCACAAAGGATGGCATTCCTAACAACTAACAACTAAATTATGTGTCAGATATGAGGATTTATACAATTTTTTTAAAATATGAAAATAGGTGAGGTCAATGAAATGGTGTGAAATGTCATGTAGGCCAACGTTTAAAATGTACAACATGAAAGAGTGAAGATAACTCCCAAGTCAAGACTAGCAGGACTGGTTAAAGGGGCAAAATGAAAGTTTCTCATAAACTACACCAGTAATGAATCCAGATGTAAAGCAGAAAACCCCTGAGGGTGTTTTTTCTGCAGTTTTACATGGATCAATATGCTGCATGTTTCTCAGTGGTCAGATTTGGGGCCCCTGCAATCGTCTCCATGCACAAACACCGAACAGCTACAAAGAGGAATATGTGTTCCTATAAAATCAAACACCAAATTGAGTTAATTTAATGAGATGGAAGCTTAATGCTGATTGCAAGTCATTTAAAAGCGTTAATGACTCAGAGTTAAATGTCAAAACATTCACCCATTTATTATTCCTGACCACTTATCCTGTAATCAGATTATATCAGGTGATCAGAGGATTAATATATATATATATAATATACAGTGTTTGTGCTATTATTTAGTTGGGTTACTATGACAACAGACTGACCAGAGTTAAAAGGCAAAGAAGGGAGGCATATGAGATGATCAAAAGAATAGAGATCTAGCATCACAACGTACGCTAATGTGCGGATCCATTGAACCACCTAGTAGGATGTGTCGGTGAGTGGGCTGCATGATGAGAGCAGAGTGGGCGTCAGCCTGAGACTAAAAAGCCCGACTAAACCGTGGTGCCACAGTGCATGCACTCACACCGACACTTAGCGCATGATGCTAATGATGCATTTAATAGCAGGATGGGAAGAGGCCTGCATATTAGAAAGCATTTAGGATGTTAGATTTCTGTGTGGGTTCAGAGCTCTGAGGGTCTGACTCCAGGTGATTCAACTTTAATACAAAGATGGGTCTTAAAAAGGAGCTACAAAGCAGATATAAAGTTTATCTAACATTTCCCCTAAACTACCTGAAAGCTAGATATTTAAATATAGAACTGTGGGTTGGTAGTTCTAATGTTAAAGCTTGAAACTCCCGTCTCCAGAGATCCCAGTCATTAATGGACACTTTTATAACATCAATATAAAATGTTCAGGAAGATGTTTAGGCAGATATTTGAGCGCTTTTCCAGCTTTAAATGTAGAACCTGCAAAAAGTGAGACAAGAACAAAGTAAGCAACATGGATGGAAGGACAAGTTCAAAGCTCCAACCTTTATTCCAGACATAAAGTGTTTTTGTAAGAGCAGCTTTTTGGAGCTTGGGTGTGGTGCATTATGTGGATGTTGTTACTAAGGGAAGAAAGCTCCAACTTTCATCAGATGGTTGGACAGACAAACTAATGGATTGTAGGACTGAATGATTATTTTAAAGCTTATTATTATTATATAGATTATTATATGATCCTTGATCATCCATTAGGTTTAAATGAAGCAACAAACATCTGTGCATAAAGACATAAATGCATCACTTAAAAACTGATATTGGTGGCATATGATGAGTTAACTTGGAAGGAAAGAACTCTTTTGTTTGATTAGCATAAAGAGTGAAAAAAATATATATATATAGGAAAAAGGAAAGATTTTCATATCAGGAACAGGGAGATCAAGCAGAACAGGAGAAACCCACAATGTTCTGTGTTTCTTTACGCCAACTAACCCAGACATTAAAAATACCAGAAACGCCTTAAAACAACAACAAAAATAAATATTCAGGTTGCCTTCTGGTTTTACAACTACTTGTTTGTCGCCTGCATCGTACTTGGACTGAAAGCGCACTGTGGAGTTTGCCCCAGTTCTCCCAGTGTCATTTACAAACAGTCCGCAGTTTGAGTGCAACCGCCCCATGATAACCTTTAAATTATTTGATGCTCGAGAAAGAAAAAAAAACTTTTCATTTTTTAATATTTAGACCATATTTTATTTTTGCTTTCAGAGTCTCTGCCTCAGAACAAAGTCTATCAGAAATGTAAACTGCTCTACAGCAGTATGAAGGAAAAAATGAAAATAAAAAAAGTGATTATCCAGGTTTATCGTCCCGTTAGACACAGAGAGAGACAGTAAGCATGTAAAATATCTGACAATGATAAAGGACTCGTCTTGGCAAACTACTGTTGGTTTTTATATGTGACTGATTACATGGGTGAGAGGTGGCTGCTCCTGCATCGGCTCGTCTGATAAGACGATTCACCCATGCAAACATGGAGATGGAGCTGAGCAGCTACCTTACTGCAGCCCAGTCAAACCCAAAGCTCATGTTGAACTTAAACGCTCCGCAGTTTCTGGTCTGTATGAGGAGAAGATCAACAAATACATTGGTCTCCTTTAAAAAAAAAACTAAATACCAAGAACTTTGTCGTTTTGAGCAGCTGAAAGTTCTGCAGCTCAGTTCCAGGCGTAGGAAGTCCAAGGTCCTTCACCTGCTTGGTTAAACAGCAGCTCAAACGTCAGAGGGGGAGGGGCAACCCGAGCGCTCGCAGTTGTTCTACCCCTCAGAGCACAGCATGAAAAGCGAATGTATTCACGCGCCAGAGCAGGACTCAGTTCGGCTGTAAAACATCTTCCCTCTATTTGGACACCAGCTAATAAACTGTAAAAATAATAAGCTAATGGGAATAAGTTGCTCCTAAATAGGCAGAAGAGAAGGTGAGAGGAGAACAAAAGTGTGCGTGCGTCCTGGACTGGCAGGGGCAGATCTGGGTGAGATGCTTCAGAGTAGAAACAGCTGAGGGCACAGACAGCTGGAGAGAAACCTGAGCACCTCTGAGGGGCAAATTAACCCCCTCCAGGCCGGATGAGGCAGCATGGGTCCTCTTAAGAAAAAACCCCCCACAGTTCTTGCTTTTTAAGCAACCAGACCGAGACGCTGAATAACACAGATATTCAAGAAAATGGCTCACTGACATGACGAGGTCATCATGTTCCAGTTTGCCCATTTTCCTCTACTCAGGGGAGAGGGGATCATCTGCTCCCGCTCTGCAGTCGTGTTGTCACCGAGGTCCAATCAGTGGCTGGGAGGATAACTTCAGAAGGTGTGCCACGTCGGCTCCTCCTACCATCAACCAATGTCCAGTCTGACCGTCACTATCTGTCTGACCCAGATAGAGGGCTTCCACTGAGCTACTGCTTTGTTTGACCGGCTTCATAAGTCAACTAGCTTGCTTCATAGTAATGAAAGTGCATACATAGTAACTTAGGCCAACATGGCATGAAGTTAAAACAGTAAAGATGTTAGATTAATGACAAAATC